TTTTAAGTGCATGTTTCATGGCAATTTTAGTTTATGGTTCATGGTAAGTCTAGTTTCTTAAATCCCCGTTTTATAATATGTTAAAATTTACTTTTAAATGTAGAAGAAAATAGCTAAAACATACCATGGCAACTTCAGTGTAAACACCATGGCAATTCATGTGCAATAGACATGACAACTTTTAACAAAAAAAATCATCTAAATATATTGATATGAGATCTAGTTTCGAAGATCTCGTCGCGAGGGATTTAATGGTGAAAACGGATCTTCAATCGGATTTTTCATTTAAGAGATAAAACATTTTAAAACTGAAAATTCAAAAAGATTCGCACATGCATGCATGCGGTGACGTGTCGCAATCTGTGTGTTATAGAGCGTATGAGCAGATTTCGCTCCCACCACACGTGTGGGCGTTAGCGTTGTCCTTTAGTTGACTTATTTGCGTATGACCGGACTTCTAGTTGATTTATTGACTTATAATTAACTCCTACAACTATATGGGAATATTTTAGCTGCATCGTAGGAAAAATAATCTGAAATAGAGTTTTGGTTAACTTGGCTATGATGTCCTGAACTTGCTTCCTTTAGTTTGAACTTGACTATCATGATGTTTACTGTCCTTTATTCATTTTTTGCTTTGACAGTTGTATGTAAAATCAATGCTTATGTATCTTAATGTTGCTCAAAATACTACTTCCTCCGTTCGGAATTACTTGTCGCAGAAATGGATGTATCTAGACGTATTTTAGTTCTAGATACATCCATTTCCGAGACAAGTAATTCCGAACGGAGGGAGTATGCTTGTAAGATTGGGTAGAGGTTCGGGTGATCTCAGAACAGCATGTTTTTCATGGTACTCTTGTTGTGTTGAAAAATGTTCGGCTCCCGTAGCAATGCACGGGCAATTACCTAGTTGTTAAAAATAAAATTGTCAGCGAGATTGTACGAGACCTCATAGCTGACGTTCACCAGCTAAGAGGATCCTGATTATTTTTTGCATATGTACATTTTTGTTCAAAAAGGGAAATCTACTAGACATGCGAAGGTGTCGAAGAGTACACGCAACAGATATGTTGAGAAAGAGTGTTTGTTTCTCTTATTACCCATCTCCGTAGCCACCAGCCCAGCTGAGAGAAAAACACACAACTCACTCCTCCCGTTCCCATCTGGTGCATTTCTTCTCATTTTATATATTCTTTAAAAATTGTTTTTCAATTTTTTCTTGGGCTGACTGTCGATGAGCACATGATCTTGGAGGAAGCCACAATGGAGCTGATGTCACCACGACAGACAAAGCGTGTGCAGAACGACAACGACGAGGCGATCAGATACTCTAGAGGACCTGGACCATGTGGAGGTCTCAATTTTAAGTAGTAATCTTTGTTGCTAGCATATGTAAGGTTCGAAGTATTGATTGAGAAAAATTAAAGTATGAGAATTTCACACTTTGGTTTAGCAATCCGGTAAGTTATGCTTATCTTACTAGCTTTAGTTTGTTGCAAAGGAACTATTGATCATCTATCTAAATGGATAAGAAGCCTTGTAATCATAATGCACTATTACTTTTCTCATGTTACCAGCTTATATGGGAGAATGGATTGGTTAAAGAGGACAACAAGTACCATTTTAACTTGAAGTAGTAGTTTGTTTGACGTTGTGGGAAAGCCTTTTTAATATAGAAGTATGAGATTTACATATTTGACTTACGGATGGAATGACCACACACTATGAAGGGACTTTTTTAGTTAGTCTATTGGCGTATGACTGGGCTTCCAATTGATTTATTTACTTATAACTCCAACAAGTATATGTGAATATTTTAGCTGCATCATAGGAAAAACAATCTGAAATAGAGTTTTGGCTGACTTGGCTATCATGTCGTGAACTTGCTTCCTTTAGTTTGAACTTGACTATCATGGTTTTTGTTGTCCTTTATTCAATTTTGCTTTGACACTTCTATGTATAATCGATGCTTATGTATCTTAATGTTGCTCAAAATACCATGTTTGTAAGATAGGGTAGATGTTCCGATGATATCAGAACACCATGTTTTTTCATGATACTCTTGTTGTGTTGAAAAATGTTCGGTTCCCGTAGCAACACATGGGCAATTACCTAGTTGTCAAAAATAAAAATGCCGGCGAAATCATACGAAACCTCCTAGCTATTGTTCGCCAACTAAGAGGGTCGTGATTATTTTATGCATATGTACATTTTTGTTCGAAAAAGGAAATCCACTAGACATGTGAAGCTGTCGAAGAGTACACGCAACAGATATGTTGAGAAAGAGTGTTTGTTTCTCTTATTACCCATCTCGGTAGCCACCAGCCCAGCTGAGAGAAAATCACCCGACTCACTCCCTTTCCCATCTAGTCCATTTCTTTCCATTTTATGTATTCTTGCAAGATTATTTTTCAATTTTTTATTGGGCTGCTGTCGATGAGCACGGGAGCTTGGAGGAGGCCCGCATAGAGCTGATGCCACCTCAGCAGACAAAGCCTGCGCAGAACGACAACAGGCGAGCAGATACTCTAGAGGAGCTGGACCATGGGGAGGTCTCAGTTTAAAGTAGTAATCTTTGTTGCTAGCATATGTAAGGTTTGAAGTATTGATTCAAAAAAAAAGCGTCTACATACTAAGTAATTTATCTGAGAATTTCACATTTTGGTTTAGCAATCCGGTAGGTTATCTTTATCTTACTAGCTCTAGTTTGTTGCAAAGGGACTACTGATTATCTTTCTGAATGGAATAGAAGCCGTGTGATCATAATGCACTATTTCTTTTTTCATGTTACCTGCTTATACGGGAGAATGGATTGATTAAAGAGGACAACAAGTACCATTTTAACTTGAAGTGGTAGTTTGTTTGTTGTTGTGGGAAAACCTTTTTAATATAGAACTACGAGATTTACATATATTTGACTTACGCATGGAATGACCACACACTATGAAGGGACTTTTTAATTGACCTATTGGCGTATGACCGTACTTCCAGTTGTTTTATTGACTTATAACTCCTACAAGTATATGAGAATATTTTAGCTGCATCATAGGAAAAATAATCTGAGGTAGAGTTTCGGTTAACTTGGCTATCATGTCGTGAACTTGTTCCTTTAGTTTGAACTTGACTATCATGGTGTTTACTGTCCTTTATTCATTTTTTGCTTTGACACTTGTATGTAAAATCGATGGTTATATATCTTAATGTTGCTCAAAATACCACGTTTGTAAGATCGGGTAGATGTTTCGTTCATCTCAGAACGCCTTATTTTTTCATGATACTCTTTTGTGTTGAAAATTGTTTGGCTCCCATAGCAGCACACAGGTAATTACTTAGTTGTTAAAAATAAATCTGTCAGCGAAATCGTACTAAATATCCTGGCAGACGTTCGCCAGCTAAGAAGGTCCTGATTATTTTATGCATATTTACATTTTTTTGAAAAGGGAAATCCACCAGACATGTGAAGGTGTCCAAGAGTACACTCAACAGATATGTTGAGAAAGAGTGTTTGTTTCTCTTATTACCCATCTCGGTAGCCAGCAGCCTAGCAGAGAGAAAATCAACCGACTCACTTCTCCCCTTCCCATCTGGTCCATTTCTTCCCATTTTATGTATTCTTGCAAGATTCTTTTTCAATTTTTTCTTGGGGTGACTGTCGATGAGCACGGGAGCTTTGAAGAGGCCACCGAGGAGCTGATGCCACCTCGGCAGAGAAAGCCTGCGCAGTACGACTAACAACGAGGCGAGGAGATACTCTAGAGGAGCTGGACCACGAGGACGTCTCAGTTTTAAGTACTCCCTCCATCCGAAAAAGATTGTCCCTCAAATGGATGTATCTAGCACCAAGTTAGTGGTAGATACATCCATTTGAAAGACAAGCTTTTCCGGACGGAGGGAGTAGTAATCTTTGTTGCTAGCTTATGTCGTAAGGTTTGAAGTATTGTTTTTTTTAAAAAAAAAGCTACATAGTACATAACTTGTCTGAGAATTTCACACTTTGGTTTAGCAATCCGGTAAGTTTCTTTTATCTTACTAGCTCTAGTTTGTTGCAAAGAAACTATTGATTATCTATCTAAATGGATAAGAAGCAGTGTGATCATAATGCACTATTACTTTTTTCATGTTACGGTTTATATGGCATAATGGATTGGTTAAAGAGGACAACACGTACCATTTTAACTTGAAGTGGTAGTTTGCTTGTCGTTGCCGGGAAACCTTTTTAATATAGAACTACGAGATTTATATACATTTGACTTACGCATGGAATGATCACATAAGCATCAATGCAAAAAATGAAGGGACTTTTTAATTGACCTATTGGCATATGACCGGACTTTCAGTTGATTTATTGACTTATAACTCCTACAAGTATGAATATTTTAGCAACATCATAGGAGAAATAATCTGAAATAGAGTTTCGGTTGACTTGGCTATCATGTCCTGAACTTGCTTCCTTTAGTTTGAACTTGACAATCATGGTGTTTACTGTCGTTTATTCTTTTTTTTTTGCTTTGACACTTGTTTGTAAAATCGATGCTTATGTATCTTAATGTTGCTCAAAATACCATATTTGTAAGATCGGGTAGATGTTTCGTTGATCTCAGAACACCATGTTTTTTCATGATACTCTTGTTGTGTTGAAAATTGTTCGGCTCCCGTAGCAACGCACGGCAATTACTTAGTTGTCAAAAATAAATCTGTCAGCGAAATTGTACGAAATATCCTGGCTTACGTTCGCCAGCTAAGAAGGTCCTGACTATTCTTTTGCATATGTACATTTTTGTATGAAAAGAGAAATCCATCAGACATGTGAAGCCGTCGAAGAGTACACGCAAATGATATGTTGAGAAAGAGTTTTTGTTTCTCTTATTAGCCATCTCGGTAGCCACCAGCCCAGCAGACTCACGCTCCTCCCAGCGTCCGAGATCCTTCGCCCTCCCTTGCCGGCCGGTTGGAGTTCAACCCACGCTCCACCCAGCGACTTGCCCCACACCACGCCCATGGAGGCCAGCAAGGAATTGGCGTTGCCTTTGACGGACATCCCGGACCACCTCCTGTACGAGATGTTCCTCCGGCTAACCACCTCCGAAGATCTCACCCGCGCCTCCGCCGTCTGCGTCTCCCTCCGCCAAATCTGCGTCGACGGCTCCTTCCTCCGACGCTTCCGTCGCCTCCACGGCCCTCCCCTCCTCGGATTCCTCGACTGCAACGGCTTCCATCCAGTCCTGCCGCCTCACCCGTCTGCGCCCGCCGCCCGCGCGCTCGACCTCGCCGCCGACTTCTCCTTCTCCTTCCTCCCCTCCCCCTGCCACTGGATCGTGCAGGACATGCGCGCCGGTCGCGTCCTCCTCGACCGGGACCTCGGAGAAGAGGAGTTTCCCGCGGTCTTCAGGGAGCTCGTGGTGTGCGACCCCCTGTGCCGGCGGTACGTGCTGCTCCCCCCGGTTCCTGACGACCTAACCGCTTCGCTTGAGCAACCTGTCCGCATGATACGGGTCCGGTGCAAGCCCTTCCTCGTTCCCCTCGGCGAGGAGGAGACGGCGGCGCCAGAGACAACATTCAGAGTGGAGGAGGCGGCGGCGCGGGAGACAACATTCAGAGTGGTCTTGATGGCACACTGCAAAACTAGTCTGTCTGCCTTCGTCTTCTCTTCGAGCACCGGACAATGGCAAGCCGCTGCATCAAATGGTTGGAGTGATTTGGTCAGTAGCACAGGCGACCGGGCCGCCATGTCACAGGTCAACCCTTTTTTTCTCAGGCGCCATTATGCTTATGGCTGCTTTTACTGGGACTGGCTGACGATCAACAGCAAAAAGTTACTCGCGCTTGACATCAGGACGATGGAGTTCTCCATTGCTGAGCTCCCACCTGGAGATTGTGGAGGCAGGGGAAGGCAGGCTTGGGATGTTTGGTTTCCATGGTGAAATTGCATCTAGCCTCAGCTATACCATTGCGCAAAACAAAGGCAAGAGTCCCAGCCAGTGGCAGGTGGAGAAGATAGTCTCACAAGATTCTGGGTACGCATATAGTATCAGAGCTGCAACAGAGAGGTACTTGCTCTTGACAAAGATAGAAGCCTCATCTCTAGAGAATCGACTCCTGTCTCTAGAGAAGCCACTCTTTGAATATTTCTTAATGGATGTCAAGACGTTGCAGCTTCAGAGGGTTTATAAGAAACAAGACTATCTTGCGTATGACACATACATATATATAAACTTCCCACCATCATTGTTGTCTTCAAGGACAGTATGAAGTGGTAAAGTTTCTATTGCTTCCAACGTATCTCATTCCATTCATAATTATCGCATGACTTTTGCTGTTGCTTCATATTCATTACGGCAATTGGTAATTCTTGTTTGATTTTAGTGTTTAATTTCTTGTGCTCACAGAAAAACTCTAAGCAAGCTCGGGAACATAATTGCGTTTATTGTCTTGTTTGTTTCAAATGCAATTTGAAGAGAATGGGGCTAGTAAGAGAAATGATTTTATATATTATGAGCAACATATTCATGAGTCCTGATGGAATTAGTAAAAACACTATGTCATTATAATTAATTTGGAGGAGTAGTTTTGGTCAAGATAAACATAGAAGGAATACAACTTTAATTTATATCCAGTTTACCTTGGATTGCTTCACCTCGAGAAAATTCATTCAAGTCAAAAACATCTCAATTTGTACACTTTTCTTTTGATAGATGATAGATATAAGGAGGCAGATAAGTTCACTTTTAGTCATCGTCACAAATAAGATCTGTTGTCACTGCTCTAAATAAGAAAAGCTTGTGCTCCCAGGCAACTGAAATTTTATCCTGTGATGTTGTTTTATCTTAAATCAATCTCGTAAGATCGAAGGAGTGCTTATCAGCGCAAGCAACTGAAATTGTTCTTTATTGCAGTCCATATCTCGAGCACTCTTAGATCCTCATATAATGGTTGTGCTCCTAATCTGAAAGCAAATCATATTGGTTGACATGATTGACTGAAACTTATGAGTTTTCAGGTTATTGTATTGTTTCTTGCTACCAGCACCCCCAGTTTGTTTACTTTCTTTAGTTAGAAATTTGTTATACTGATAGTGTGCCTAGGCAGAAAATGAACTCCTGCAAAACCAGTTCTATATGAGTTTTTCATGACTGAATTCCGTTATGTTCATGTGTGCCTTTGTCAGGCAGTCAATCCCAACTTGTATTGATGCTAAGCACACTGAAGTGAGTGTTTTCAGTCACATGTTTTAAGATCAATATTTTGCTATTCTGCCCCTTGCTAGGATACTACCTACCTAAGTACCTAAATTATGTTCCTTCATGCTTGTAAAGCTATTGAAATTGGGCGGAAAATCTTGTGTATTGTCTGAGTTTTTTGTCTCGTTTTTCCAGAATCAGGGGAGTCGTTAGCAGATCAGCTTTCTGAGTTCAAAGCCACTGCGGCGGGTTCGATTGCGTGGAGTTGTCGCGAATGTGGTCACCTTACTGACAAGACGACGTCTGACGATCTACACGATTTTACCTGGCTGTGATCATGTTTGTTGTTCTGGACTTGTGAGTTATTCCTTGCCAGCAAGATTAACTTCAGGAGCCTCTTCCTTGCTCTGAAGATTCTGAAGAGTCAAGGCTGTAGATCTCCAGCTTGTCTTCAAGTTTGTTTAGGCGTTTCAGCTGATGTGACTCGTACCCCTCTTTCCTTCTTACTGTGAAGGACGGTAACATTTGGAGCCATGTCAGCCTGCCAACCTTTGGAAATTCCAGATCCGCCATGCTGATTACACAGGGCAAGTTGATGAGGTTCATCATATCTTTAGTTAGAAGTTTGTTATACTGTCGAGTGTGCCTAGCCAGTAAATGAACTCCTGCAAAACAATGGTACCAGTTCCTGCACGAGTTTTACAGGACTGATTCCTTTAGTATGCCTCTGTCTGAAGTGAGTATATGATTGCAGTGAGGTGAGTGTCTGACTACACTCACATGTTTCAAATTCAGCTAAGTTTACTACCTAAGAAAATTGCAGTGAAGTGAGTACTATGCTATCCTGCGTTCTTCTGTGATATATACTGCTTTGTACTACCTAAGAACCTAAAGCTTTGTTCCTTTAGGCTCGTAGAACTCTTGAATTAGTATGCACTAGTTGGCCACAAAATCTTCTGTGATGTCTGAGTTTTCGTTTTATTTTGGGTTTTGTTTGTCCAGATTGAATGTAGTAGTCATAAGATCAGCTTTGCGAGTTCAAAGCGACCATGGTTTCGATAGCATGCAGTTCTCGCAGATGTTATCACCTTTCGGACAAGTTGGCAGCTTGGCGCGTGCCAGTCTATAGAATTTCACTCGGTCGTGGTCATGTCTATGTTGTTCTTGTTACCATGCTACTTGTACCTTAGATCACGCTGTGCCCTGCGTAAGGCTAGCTGCTGTATATTCAACACTGTTCCAAACAACAGGAATCGGATAGATTCATTGTTCATCACTGGAAGCGATAGGAATCTCACAATCTAGGGTCCAAAATGCATTTGACATTGTTACGAATCTTACCGGGAGCCCCGCTTTGGTACAACCCCTTCACTAAACGTGTAAAGAGTAATATGGACTTTTGACGAATGGTACCCACTTTAGTATGTATGGTGGGATCGCCGCTGGAACGTATACTTGCGACCTCGCCATCGAGGCCAACCGCAGCTAACCAGTAGGATAGATGCCTTATGTTGATGCTAGTAAGCACGAAGGTCTTAAGAACACTACGACATTGAGGTTTGAAAACATTTTTGATTTTTCTTTGAAACATTTCTTCAAATTTATGATTTTTTTGTAAATAAAGAATATTTTTTAGAAATACAAAAAAATTATCAAATAAAAAACAAATATTCCAAAAAGTAAAAAAGGGAATTCTGAACATTTTCTGAAAGAGTGAACAATTTTTCAAATCCATGAACAGTTTTTACAATGTGAACAGTTTTTTAAAATTCCGAACATTTTTTAAAAACATGAAAACTTTTAAAAACCTTAAATTTTATTGTAAAAATGGGAATTTTTTTTGAGAATGTGAACAAAAAGATTGAATTCCTAACATGTTCCCAAATTTCGAGCAATTTATTGAAAATCAGGATATTATTTTAAAAAACATAAAATTACGTGAAAACATGAACATTCTTTGGAACATGAGATTTTTTTAAATGACCTTTATTTAAAATTACCGAACATTTTCTCAAAAACGCGAACATTTTATAATTCGTGAATTTTTTGATAGTGGAGACATTTTTTGGAAATGCTGAACAAATTTTGATAAGACCAAACATGTTTTGTGTTTTTTGAGATACTTGAACGGAAACAACTTTTGAAAAAGACAAAAGTTTGCTGAATTTATCAATAACTTTGTAAAAAAGGCGAATTGTTTTTGACATTTTGTTTTTTCTGAAGCGAGAACATTTTTCTGAAAAGATGAATATTTTTTGAAAACAGAAAAACATGAAAACGAAAAAAGAAACCAAGAAATGGGAAAGGGGAAAAATAAAAAAAGAAACAAAAAACAAAGAAATGCAAAATAAAAACCAAAAAAAATTGTAAAAGGAAAAAACCGGTATTGGGAACCTTGGTGCTCGCTGTGGTGGAGTTGGCGGCTACTGACTGCTCGCCGGTAGTCAGACGAGCTTGGAATTCATAAAAAATTGGGAAAGTACGAACAAAAAATTGGAACTAGATTTTTTTTAATTTGCGCACACATTGTTTATATTTGGTTTTTTGAAAACATGAACATTTTTTTAATTTCAATCAAAATTTTAAAACAGGAACATTATTTTGAACTCCCCAAACATTTTTTATTTTTAAACAAATTTGGAAAATGGGAACAGTTATTGAATTTGTGAACAAATTTTCAAAACAGGGACATTTTTTAAATCGATGAAATTTTTTCATATCCGCGAGAGCTTGGGCCGGCCCAACAGGCGCCCAATGAAGCGATGTCGTCTCCTAGTTGGGCCAAGGCCTAAGCCTTTTTTCTTTTCTATTTTTCTGTTTTGCTTCTTTTTTTGTTTAATTTATTTTCCTCCTTTTTGAACTGGAGGAGGCTATTTCGCGCACGAGCCCTACATCGCTCGGTTTCAGACATCGGAAGGATTAGAGATCGGTGGGATTAGGAGGCTTAGATGGGCTCACCCTAAAAATAACGGGGTGTTATTATTACTAGCACATATGCCCATGCGTTGCAACGGGAGGGATATTTTTTTGCAAGAAGCAACGGGGAAAATAATTGATGTGTCATTCAAAAAAGGATCTCCACAATGGTAGGTGACAGAGCAAGAAGATATGATCTTCTCGCTGGACATGTTTGACACGCAAAAATCTTGATAGTAATAGGGGTTGGTCGGTGTGGTGGCGAGCACCCAACTCATGCCGTTTTTCCTCCGGGTTCGCCTTCATCTCGGGCTTGTGCCTGCCTACTCATTTGTTGGCTGCGCGGTGATCTTCGGGACATGGTTGCTTCGACCACTCTATGCTACGACGGCGTAACCGGGTGAATTATTAATTGCAGCGCATAAATCCCGTTTCATGAGCATAATCAGGCATGAATGTTCCTTTTTTTAGGGTTTATTCTCTTCGATTATTTTAGAGATCAAGTACCCATAATTTTGCTCAAACTAAAGCCAAATAACATAATTTATTGACACGTGTCCACAATTTCTTTCATTTATAGTCAACCAGCAAAGAACGAATGTGCACCGCTAACTAATGACCAGCGCAAATATTTTAAAAAAGAATATAGTTTCACATCAGAAATATTTTTGATTTTTTGAACATTAAAAAAACGAATTGGTGAATATTCTTGGAAACATTAACAATTTTTAAATCCCGGACAATTTTAGAAAAATGCGAACATTGTTTCTGCAAATTCCAATATCTTAAGAAAATCGCGAACAATATTAGAAACATGAATAGTTTTT